AATTAGTCTTGAGATCGTGTGCGTGGAAACGATGGGTTTTTCTTTCGAACCGTACACAATCGCGAAGATTGACGTTTAAAAATCATCTTTGTGCATTCTATAGGCCGTGGCATCGTACTGCTGCGTATTATAATATCTACATCGTTTAGCGGTGCAAACGGTAATTGTACGCGCGATATTTCGCGGGCGCGCACGCTGGAAACCGTTCTCGAAGACGCATGTGCGATACCTGCACTCCGGACGGGCCGTCATGATTTTCGCGGTGTTTCGAACGACACGTCGCCGGAAAACCGTCTCGAAACGGAACATCATTTCGGTATTCTATACACTGCGTCACGGCACGATGCAAGTACGCACCGCGGTGAAAATGTCGAGACGGCCGTGCAATCGTGCAATGTCCGCCGCGGGCACAGGTTTTTCGGTCGGCGAAAACGCGTTCGAAAGTAAAATCGCGACGCGTTCGCCGTTAACGCGAAACAATAACGTTGCGCAACACGCGCGCGTTGTCTAATTCAATTTTTTTTCCCCCTTCCTTTTTTAATTTTTCACTTTTTTCTAGACCCACGTGGAAATGCGTATTATCTCGGCAATCGCACCGCGCCCCTAACCGTGTTCCGCGCGTTGTTCAACATTCACACTATCATTGCTATTGTTATTGTTTTTTTACGCGGCGAAAACGATCCGCACGTCGTCCGTCATTATATGATATTGAACGTTATTTTTTCGAATCCATCGCGGTGTTTAACAGTATAAATATGTTGTTGTACCAACGCGCGCGTTGGGCGACCGAATTATCGCGCACAAAGAACGCGCGCACGCTCGTTCGCATTGTCTCTGCGCGCCGTTATTGTCGCCCTCCGACTTGACGCGCGTTACGCGTTTCAAACAGTTTTGTGCACGCATACGCGCGTTTTGTTTGTTCGCGCGCGCTCTGAGGTGTACGTCGCATCCGCGGCATTGTGTAACGACAATACGGTTTCCGGTTTCCGTGCGTCGTAAATCAACCGTGGCGTTCCGGCCCGCAGCGACGTCGTGTATAATATGGATTCTCGAAGAAATCGGTTTTTCTTTTTTTTTTTTTTTTTTTTTTTAATCTTTCCTAACAAAGCGTATTTACACCGTTGTCCCCCCCCCCCAAATAAACCCTAATGCATTTTCATTTGGTAACATACAAGACGGTGTATCGTTACAGACCGAAGCTGTCGATTTTCACACACGATTTTCGTCAGTAGCGCTAAAATAATTGCACAAATTTACCACAAAAGAAACTTGTACAGGTATGTGGTGTAAAATAAACATTAAATACTTAACAAAAACAACCTACATAAATCAACAATAACAAAAAATAAATACTAATTATATTATACACGTTAATTGATATTTGTATTAGTTACCTATTATCTGAAGTCCTATGACCAATATAAAAATTATTGAGGGGTGGAATCCTCCCCCCCCCGTCCACATAACTACGCCACTAGGAAAAACTAAACAGTAATATCATGATCCGCGCTGTTACTTTTATTCGTTTACGTTTCGGATTATCCTCTGTGCACAATCTGAGCTTTGTTCAAACGCAATAAAATCCACCAAACACTTTCTAAGCACCTACGATTAGAAGCAATGGTACGTTCAACTAGCGACGTGTGTGCGCTTCTTGGTAGCTGTTGTTTCAAGGAGCCTATCATCTCGCGGTTTTTCATACACTTTTCAGCAATTTGAAACCTCGATAACGACACGTGTTGTACACACGCGCGATGCACAATATAATATAATAATACTCGTATACACGCTAGATGGGTCGTGTGGTGTGAACCATAATAGCGCGTACGTGATACGGAACGCTCCGAGCGCAGTTGAATCAGAGCGCGAATAATTATGGGATGATATCCGGAAGGTGACACGAACAATGAAACTTTTTCGGAGAGAAAAACTATAGAACGTTTTACTTCTGACTACATTATACGTAATGATGACAATATTAATAATAATGATCGGGCGAGTGCACAGCGGTGTATAACGCAAAAAAACTATGATGAGTTCCTTCCTTTCGGAGATTTGGACAAAAAAAAAAAAACGTGCATGGATGACCCGCGGACCAGAACGATGCGAACGATGCAAACAATGCGCGGACGGATGAAATATTTTCACGTTGTAAAATATTGTTTATAAATAAATATACACATGTATACCCTATATAACAGGGGCGACCAAACGGTCGATCGCGGATGATTTCAGAGTCGATCATGTTATAATTTATCTTTAGGTCACGTGCACGAAAATTAATCGTGGTTATTAACAGATTGTCGATAAGTTTTATCTGTATATTATATTATTTTTAGTAATTAGTTTATAATACTTTATGTATGTTTATATACACTTTAAGCAAGTATGTTTCTTAATAATAATAATTATTTAATAATAAAACGATTTTTCTAAGAAAGTCGATCATCAAAGGTGAATTATATTTTTAGTAGATCGTGGTCGAAAAAAGTTTGGCCGCCTCTGCTATATAAATATGAATTCCGGTATTTATGGCCATCTCAGATATTAGTTTCGAATTACGTACGGATCAACACTGTTGTATTAAATCGTCCATGCGTGGGAATCCGCGTGACACATGCATTATATTGACGTCCGTTACAATGCGAGTTACAATTCAAAACAACACTGTCGAGTAACGAACGTTGGTCGCGCGTAAAGAGTGCATTCCTCGTTTGCATGGTGAAATATAAATGTTAGTGTTCAAGTCCCAATTAGAGTCGTAATTATAGTAGTGTTGAACAAAAAATTCGAATAGATCCGTCTCCGAATTACTTATTAAGATTGAAAAAAATGTTATTAATTGGTTAAAAATTACAAATATCCGGATTATGACACAAAAACGAATAAGTAATTTAATTTGAATTCAAGTATAAAAATATAAAAATACGTTTTTCTAATAAAACACAGAGATATTGCACTAAATTTGTAAATTACCGCTCTTGATATTTTATTCTCAATGAGTCGCAGTCAATAAAATTAACTTAATATGTATGTAAAGGAAAATACAATCAATAAAAATTACAGCCATAGAAAATGTTTATCTAATGAAACGGCCAAGTAGTTTCTTTCTTACTCATTACCCAAAGCAGCACAATTAAATAAAATAATATTTATTTTTCTATAATGTAACATTTTCTTAGTACAAAAATTAAATAAATAATAGTTTTTCATCGTTGTTTGGATTGATAATAAACTTAATTATATATATTAACCAAGACTGCGAATGTGCTTCCATTAAGTTTGTGTCGAATTAAATCTGCATTCAACGATCCGTAATTCAGGCCATATTGTTTTTGCACCAATATGTATGGATTCTTCAAAACCGAAAACTTTTTTTGCTAGAGTGGATATTAAATTAGTTTCTGAACATTTTTCCACGACATTTTCAAACTATCGTGCACGTGTGTCTTTACATTTGTCTGGTAGTATAAAAATCATTAGAGTGAAATATAAATATATCCGTTCTTGAAAATGTGTACCTACAGTAGAAAACTGATGAAAATATTTTGATATTATAATCGATAGCGGAATCAATAGCCGGCGGAGTCGATACAGAATCGGGGAAATCTTTATACGCCCAATTTAATCCGTGAATCCGGGTAAAACTGATTGAATCCACCGATCTGGATGCTACATTTCAATCCGTAGCGCGAGCATTAGGCAAGTTAATGTTTAGCGCTAATTCGCGGCGCGCGTGTACTCGTGTACCGATGACGAACAGCGTGTTCAGTAGCCAATGCGGTTTAACGAACGTAACACCTGTTGACTTCTCTCGTCCGTACGACAGTCGAATATTATACGAAATTATCCGTACGTGGGAAAAAAAACTAATGGTTGTCGTGATTTTTCCGTGCCTCGTGTGCAGCGCCCACGACAGAGAGGTACGGATAAACAATTTTTTTGATACGATAATGCACGCGACCTTGTACGATAAACGCCGTTATAGAGACGGGTTCTCGCTGTGCTCGTATGCTTCTCTCACCATTCTCAGGAACCTGAGCATGTTTTTTTTTTTTTTAATAGCAGTGTAATAGGTGCAACGGAAACCTGTTGCCCTACGGCGGGTACACGACATCGTACGTCCGCGCACACCGGTCGCGATACCATTGCATACGATATGTGTACTACGAGTCTTTCTAACAAACAAGTTTTACTGTTATAACACGTGGGGACCGTCATTAAACGGGCAACCGAGGAATGTTATGGTGATGTTTAGGTAGACGCACTCGAGCACGCGCTCGCGGTACCTAGTAACAATAGTTTAGTAAACGATAAAATGCACGTGCGTACGTTTTTAGCTGTTCTCGTACATCGTGTACGGTTGTAGTACATGTTTTACGTTTTATCCCGGAGACATTAATCGGATTCGAAATCGGAAACGAACCGTAAACCGATCAATAGCGATAAACGGTACGCGTTCTATAACCCGTGCATTATTGACGGTTTGTCAATAACGTTTAATGCTTCGTCGGCTGATATGGATACAGGTTCGAGGTTGTGTTATCGCGACTTAAATGCGACAAACGCACGGCCATCCACTCTCGCGATAATTACCTATAGTAAATCGAGCGAAAATACGGCGCCAACGCGGTGAGAATTACTTGAGACGTTTAACGTATATGGATCTGCGGGGCCAAGAAATCTCAGACGCGCAGGATCTTTACCGGGTGGGAGGAGGTTTGTCAGAGGAATGATTTGCTCAAGCTACATACGTCTCGCACGTGATAACATTTCTTTACGATTTCTGCACGTACGTTTAAAACGGATAATTTTCCATAGTTGACAAGTGATAACAAGCAAAAATATGAAAATATGAAAAAAAAAATGTTTAATTTCCCTTCCATCCTTCTTAATTCTCACGTCCGCATAACTATACAGGGTAAATTATCGCTCGAGATAATGAAAACAATCAAATTATTTTTATTTTTAACATGACTCATATTCTATTGGTTTTGCAGACTAAACGCGAACGATGGCGTCTTGCTCCGCGACCACGTCCGTGATGTTGGTCGCGATCGCGGCCGTCGCGTTTCTCGCACGGTCGGCCGACTGTCAGGCGGAGAAGAGGCTCACGTCGGTCCAACACCAGCAGCAACAGCAGTACTACGACTCGTCCGAGGACGTCGGTGAGGTGATCAAGAGCAAAATTCGCCCGGACACGTATTCCCAGGACCCGTCGCATCAATTGCAGTACGAAAAGCATGGCAAACAGCACCAGCAGGACACGATCGGCTCAGCTTCCACCGTGTACGGTGAACAATACGGTGGCACGTTGCAGGTGCAGCAGGACCAGCCGGTAGCGGACGAGGAGGCCCAGGAGTCCATCAGCTCGGGGTCGATAAACAACCACCGTATACCGCAGTACACGCGTGGTGCTGGTGGCCCCTCGGACATTGTCGAGGGCAAGAACGTAGGTAACCGGGCGATCGGCAACAATTACCATCCCGGGGCACCTGGAGCCGTCGTCGCTCCGTCCGCCACTGGAGCCGGATACGCCGTCGATTCGGTGTACGGAAATCTGCACTACAGCAGCCAAGACCTGGTCCAGGACCAGAACTATCAGCTCGAGTTTAAGTACCACGACTACGACAAGATGACAAAATTCTTGAGGACCACGTCGTCCCGGTTCCCCAACCTCACGGCGCTCTACTCTATCGGCAAATCCGTCCAAGGTACGTAAAATACATCGATGAAACTTTGCACCTGCTGCCTGCAAGAGCAGTCGATTATGATAGTTACGGTTCACTATATAGTTTACCTTCGGTCTATCTTGTTCAATGTATACATTCTTATATATACAAGCGTGACAAAATTCGGTTACCCGATTTGAAATTTCGCCTCTTTTAAGTTTTTCGTAACTAAGAATCGCCTTTATTTATGTGATGTTTATTAATATATTATTTATTAATTTTAATATTTTATATAATATTTGTAATTCGATAAACAACAAAAGTGGAATTTCATCAAGTTTTGCTAACAAATGGCCCCTATATTATTATTAAATATTTTATAATCTTATTAATGTAAATACTTCAATAATGATGGGTTTTTTTTTTTTTTGCGTACTAAGGTCGTGACTTGTGGGTAATGGTGGTGTCTTCCAGCCCGTATGAGCATATGATTGGGAAACCAGATGTGAAATACGTGGCCAACATGCATGGAAATGAAGCGGTCGGCAGGGAGCTGATGTTGCATCTCATCCAGGTGATGATGAATTATTAAAAATAACCCGTTATACGAACAATTTTGTAAAACGAAATAATGTTAAACCTACAATGCTACACGTATACTATTATATGCAGTTATGGCGTCGCACACTTTTCGTGACCAAACCAATTTTCAAAAAATATTAGCATTTTTCGAATCTATCGTGTTGTAATATTTTAAATTGCACTCGGATGTGGTTCCACACTAGAGCTCTTAATACATGTGTCACGGAATTCACGTGTCACGTAATATGCGTGTCCAAAATATACATCCGTTTTTATTATGATAAAATTAGTAATTTTGTGTTAAACACTTGACATTTTAAAGTATATTATGATTTTTGTAGAATTAACATAATGTTATACGTTTTTATTTTAGATTTGACAGGTGCACGTTAATTCCGTGTATTCGCGTGCATAAATACTTCTAGTTCACACAACGGCACTACGTTTTGTTGAATTAATTTTTAAATGTTTGATCGCTCATATCGAAGTCAAGAGTTGTAAATTAAATTAAAATTTGTACGGCCAAAAATAATATTGTAAAATTTGATTAATAGTGGTAGTCTTTGCGTACAAGGTATGACACTACATTTTCCACAAAATACGGTGCTACCTGTAATACTTTGTAATGATGTTTCATCGTAATCGTTCTGCAGAAAGAAATTGTAGGGCACATTTGTAAATTAGACATTTTTCATGGACGTATAAACCTAACGTTTAGTAATTATATAAATGCCTTGATTTAGATCTGAAAAATCTAATTTACAACTTTAAATAATATTTTCGTTAGTTTAACGAATAGAACAGTGTAACTGCACGAAAGAAAGTTCGGGGATCTTATTTTCGCTATAACTAAAATGTAGGGATGATTGCGGGCTATGTATGATATAGATTTTAATAATTTGTCTAGAAATTATTTTAGTGTCATTTTTCTGTTTTTAATAATATTTATTATACCTTAGGTGTTTTAAAATAGTACCGGTGATGTTTATCTATGTATATTACGATTCTGGGAATGAAAAACAAAGAAAAAAATAACTCATTACATATTTTCGTTTTTGCAGTACTTGGTGAACAGTTACTCGGTGGATCCATACATCCGTTGGCTTTTAGACAATACGCGCATCCACGTACTGCCTTCGATGAACCCAGACGGTTTCGAGGTGGCCCGCGAGGGTCAGTGCGACGGTGGTCAGGGTCGGTATAACGCGCGAGGTTTCGACCTGAACCGTAACTTCCCGGACTACTTCAAGCAAAACAATAAAAGAGGACAACCAGAAACGGACGCTGTCAAAGAATGGACTTCAAAGATACAGTTTGTGTTGTCTGGAGGACTGCACGGAGGAGCTCTGGTTGCAAGCTATCCATTTGACAACACACCCAACTCTAGTGAGTATTAATGATATACGTTACACTTGTGTGTAACACTCATAGATTAGATACAGTGAAATCTATACTTCTGCCATAATTGGAAGTTTTTTCGTCCCTTGCTACTAGTACATCTCAGACAAAGAAGACTTTGTGAAATGTACAGGTACTCATTGTAATGGTTATGTTTTTACAACCATTTGATATTAATTTGATACGTTTATTCTTTTAACCTATTTCGTCTTCATTCTTGTTTTTTACCGCCCTCCTTTCGAGCAATAAAACACTAATGCACAAGGAAAAGTGTTATGAAAAATTAAATGATACTTTTTTTTTTTTTAATAAATAACAATATTTTACATGTCTACCGAAATTCTTGTAATTACCAAGGATTCTGTATTTCATCACCGTTCTGTTCTGGTAAGTACGCTAAATATGTATGATTAACATGGAATTTACGGTCCGATAAAAATGAAAACCTGGGGCAACCATAATTTAAACGATACACAGAGACAAGCCTATGCGTACACATTTTAATGATGTAGAAAAAAAAACCCGAGGAGACATCATTAAATTTTTTTTTATTTTCTCAATCAAGATGTTCTCGTTTTAAAAGTGTTTCTCCGGATCGGGTTACAATGCGTCACGTATGCGCACTATTCAATCGTACATATATACGAAACGCGCGACAAATTATTGTATGATTATTAATGATTGAATACGCGTTGCAGTGTTCCAAAGTTACACGTCCACACCGTCGTTGACGCCCGATGACGACGTGTTCAAACATTTGTCTCTGACCTACTCCAGAAACCACCCGACGATGAACCAAGGAGTGGCGTGCAAAACAGGAACGCCGACGTTTAATAACGGCATCACCAACGGAGCTGCGTGGTATCCTCTCACAGGTAAAAACCGGTCGAATTTCTACGTCCGAATGTCATTATTTTCGTTTACCACACGTTATACATGGTATACTATTTGGTATACTATTGTAGTAACAAAATATCAAAAATGTTACAATACGGCATATCATAACGACGACGTCTAGCTTGCGCTCATTAACCGCGACCAATTATTATACATCGCGTGGCTTCCGTTTTATTTGTTGATTTAACGACACAATTATAATTGTAGTATTGAATGAGTAACGGCTTAGGTATAGTTTAGCACCGCGCAGCTGTTAGAATTTTCATGATATACCATAATAATAATTTACAGCAATACTTGCCCCGTGAAAATGCATTAAACATATACGAGTATATACCGAAGAATGCACATTACCCTCTACGCAGGGTCGTATTTAGGAATTTGACACCAGGGGGGCAACAATAAAAAACGTTTCATTATACCAAATACAAATTTCTGCTGTTGAAAAAGATCTTTCTGAAGAACAATTCATTGCTGGTGTACACAAAAACATTCTAAGTGCAATGTCAACATAAGGATAGATAGTTTGTAAATCTTTGGATCTATCGACAATACTCGACCGTTACCAAGTATGTGTGTGTGTGTGTGTCGTGACGTCGTGTTTGGTGATATATGTTTTTTTTTTTGAGATACACTTTTTATTTTGTAAAGAAGTTTCACTTCAAATGTATTAGTTCATTAAATATTGAAAATATAAAAAATTAGCCGCCCTTTTATATTCAGCCGCCCGGGACAACAGCTCCCTGTAGCTCCCCCCTAAATACGGTCCTGCTTCTACGTGTAATATAATGATACAATAAACATTAAATATGAAATTCAATATTCATCGCTATATTGTGCAACCTAACCTTTCATAGCAGAGACCAAAATTATCAGGTCCTCATTTTCGTCTATTTGAAATAATCGACGTATATTGCGGCGTTTTTTTTTTTTTTTTGTTTTTCTCCGACAGTTAGGTGTATTACTTTTGATTACGTGCGCACAGACGGGTATGCCTAAAACTATTGTCGTTTAATCTCCATGTAATTCTTTCACCTAATAACGAAAAAAAAAAAACTTAAATGTATAACTGTAAACACAGTTCGTTCGATGTTGAACTTTATGTATCTGTAATTTTATTTTTGTGATCTCCGCAGGAGGCATGCAAGATTTCAATTACGTGTGGTATGGCTGTATGGAAGTAACGTTGGAGCTGTCCTGTTGCAAATACCCGCCCTCGTCCGAGTTGCCCAAACTCTGGGAAGAAAATCGACTGGTGCGTATCACTTGACGGCGGTGACGTTCGAACATTATATTAAATTGCAATATTACGTTATAATAATTTGTCATCGTAATGTTTGTGTTCGGTTTTCTCGTTCGCAGTCGCTCGTCAAGTTCTTGGCCGAAGCTCACCGGGGAGTCCACGGATTCGTGATGGACGAACACGGTAACCCGATCGAGAAAGCGTCGCTCAAGGTCAAGGGTCGCGACGTAGGGTTTCAGACGACCAAGTACGGAGAGTTCTGGAGGATTTTGTTGCCCGGCGTTTATAAGCTCGAGGTACGACCATCATTCATCGTCCATACGCGATACAATAAAGATTGATGAGTGTTTAGCGCGAAACCGAAAACCTTTCGTTTTGATCGCGCGTTCCACATAATAATCGCGGCCCCGAGACGACGACGACGATGGAATCGGATGTCGATTTTCGTAAAAGATGAACTCGTCCGTGAACAGCATGTTAGCGTAAATACAATAATATACAAAACTAGTTATCGGCGATAAAATAAGTACGCGTACGATGGGGTCTAGAAGTGAACTCGGAACGCGCGCGGTTGAAAGCAACACGCGTTAAAAATGTACACAGTTCCTTTGAGACGCCTAATTGACATCAACGTGTTTTCGGAACATGTCAAGCTGGTTTAACCGTTCGACATGATGAACGCACCCATCTTTTTACGTGTAAAATACGAGTTTTAATAATGTTCCGAGTGATTATAAATCGCTCGGAAGTAGGACCGTATTTAATGGGTGGTTTGGGGAGGCAATATTTTTACGATGATTCTAAAAAAGACCGAATCGATTTTTTTGCATTCTCAATGAAAAATTGTGTTTTTGAATAAATAAAATTATATAAAAAATAAATGTTATACTGTAAAGTCATTTATATTATTTGGTAGCGTACAACATTTATGTCTATTTAAGAGTATTTTATTTGACATACCATGGTATTTTAATGAGATATAAGTATTGGTCCAATCTTGATTTGTATAGGGATGGGACATTCAGACTCAAAGGTACTAAATTATCTAAGGATAACACCGTCAGTTTTATAACAGACAACTTTGTATAGCTTTATTTTATATGATTATAACTCGGTTATGATTTTGGATTTGGTATTAATTACAAATATTGTGTAATAGTTTACTGAAATGGGGAAAATGAATTGCGAGCGGCTTTTTAATTAATAGTTTGAGACACTTATTTTTGGTTTTACACTTCAGGGAAGAGGGGTGTCAAAATGTTTGTTTCCCCTGGGCGGATAAATCTTAAATACGGCACTGCTTATAGGTACAACCGAGAACGATAAATATTTGCTGTAGTGATGCCGAAAAGAATTTTACGAATTTAGCCTGATATAGTGGTACGCATTACGAAAAAATAAACCCCATCTAAGTCTCGTGACATACGTGAAAACGATCACCTTGAAGGGCGAAAGCGTAAACACTATTTTCCGCGGACCGCGAAAGACAATCACGCGTATTTTCGACGTGCCCGGCGCGTCGTTACTGCCAACGATCTTACACTGTTTCGGCGTACGTTTAATTTTAGTTGTTTATTTATTTACACCCTTTCAGGCAAAGAATGTACAAAAGTGTTATTGTAAACAATGACATATATTGGGGGGGCGGTGCCTAGTGGACTACCATCCCTCCTTCCCCCGAAATGTTTTAAAAAACTTAAAAATTATTTTAAACGTTTGTTATATTTTAATGGTGCTTTATGCTTATTTAGAATTTGCGTCCAACGTCAAATCATTTCGGGACATTTTCTAAATGAAATGTAGTCAAGTACCTACTGTGTCTTGTTAGTAATTCTTAAATAGCACTGGTAATTTAACTCTGTCCATAATAGCTCTTCCTAAAAATATTTTCTGTATACGCCACTGATTGTAAACATAGAAAATTTACATTGATTACAGAATATGCGAACAGCGATAAAATATTGCATTTAAAACTTTATATATATATATAAAAATAATTTATTATTTATCCAAAACCTGGATTTGAACGACGGAGTTTAGTTTCGTTGTCACGATTAAACTCAAAAAAAACACATTGTTAACATTGTTGCATTCTGTTTTTAATTCTAGATCTACGGTGACGGATACATCCCCAAGGAGATGGACTTCATGGTGGTCGAGCAGCACCCGACGCTGCTGAATGTGACGATGCACACGTCCAAGGTAGGTCCGGTCGCCGGCAAACCGCGCCTGAAGCCGTGGCAACCGCCGTGGATGCGCGACTTCCGGACGGAAACGATCGCCGCGGTGGCCGGGCGGGCCGCGAACGCCACCAGGAACTGGCGGGACGGTCTGCGCGTCTACAGCGGCGCTCCGTCGTCCACGGCATGGGGTTCTGGTCCGCAGGCTGACGCGGTCGCGAAGCTTTTGGTGGCGGCGGTGGCGTTCTCGTCCGCTAGTCGGAAATAGTATCCTGCGTGTTGAACGTAATCATGACGCGATTCGATTTATTATCGCTCTGACAAACCACATCCCCACGATCGGACGGCACTTGCCGGCTTATGTGGCACACCCATAGGCGTGCCCGCAGGCACCCCCCAAAATGTTGTAAACGGGGTCCCCAAAGATTGAAGTCCAAGTCTAAGGAGTCCGTTAAAAAACCCATGTTGTTTAAATTAAATGTAATTTATTCTGAAATATTCGATAAAAAACCAATTGTGTTTCGCGACGAAGAAAATAAAACTAAATTTTCGTGTAAAAACTTATTAAGATAATGTAACGGCTACAAAAGACTAAAACTATACAAATCATAAATAATTATAGCTGGTTGAGAACAGTTTACTTCAATTTTAAATAAAAATCAATTTGATTTATGTTTATTTAACTATGTACACATTATAATTTCTCAAATATATTTTCACGTTTTATTGAGATAGGGTCCAAAAGTGTAGTAGACACCCCCGGAAATACAGATCTCCACACGCCTATGGGTACACCTTGAAGTGCTATATGTCGAGCATGCTTGTCAATATCGTTGAAAGAGATGCTTGTCGGGGTGACATATTTACGGTTCATATCGTCCCTCAGAACTATTTCGGTGCTGATCTCGAAAACTCTTAGTGCACGAGCTACATCAAATTATACGCACAAATACTTGTTGGTCTCGAAACTAAATCAAAGTGCGAGAATGAATTCCAATTTTTTTTTTAGATGTATAAGTAGTATATATATATATTGTTTACTTTGCATTGTTATATTTTTGTAACGTTAATGTTTATCGTAGGGTTATATAAAATGGGAAAATTCGCTTAGCTATAAACGCTTTTAATTTAATTAACTGCCTAGTTTACTAACAATTAATTTACTCCAAAAGTTGAAACTGAGTGAAAAATAACCAATGGCTAGACCTGACTTGACCGAGTGTTATAATTAGGTTTCTTTAAAACAATTCATGTCTGTACTTATTACTATACAAGAAGATTATTGATCTATGTTTGAATAATATCAAATTTAATAAGATACAATTTTGAATGTTTTACTTATCTTTAACATGAATAAAATCAATAATCATAATTTATCATTTCATCAACACCAATACTTTAGTTGTAAGTTTTTTTTATAAAATTTTACTGACAATATAATATTGTCCACAAAGTTTAATAAGACGGGTTTATATATGATTAGGTATCGATTATTTCTGAAAATATTAAGTTTAATAAAATATTTATTTTTCTAATTTGTTTTCAAATAAGCAGTAGCAGTATGATAAATTGTACAGTAATCTTATATGAATAGAAGTACATAAAGAAAAATGGAATAATTTTTGTGTTAATGAATTTTTATCATATAAAATGGATATCGATGCATATCTAAAATACAATATCAGTATTCATTTAATTATAATTTCAATACTTAGTACTAATTATATGCATTTATCAAACTCAAATACTTGGATATTCTCTAATAAAATAGAATAGAATATTTTTATAGATAATGAGCATTTAAAAACTGATTTATTGTTTACATCAATTTATAAATTTTTTATTTTTAGTACCTACCAACTTATTTTTGAATCTATTGTAATATTTTAAAACTGTACTAATGATCCAACATTTTCATCTAAATTTTATGTATTACAATAGTTGTTTTGTATTCTTAAAAATATTTATTTTTTTTTTGTTCGTTAAATAATTGTAAATATATTTTAAAATTATAGCTTCTCAATGTTATTTTAATTGTACACAGCATATGATGATTATATATTGATTCCCGTAACAATTATTAATATTAATTATTGTATCAAAGTTTTCAAGACTAAAAATAGTATATAAATTGTTAACAATATTGGATGAATGAAAATAAAATTACAACTAACATTAACACAACTGTAATGCTTTTATAACTATTAACACCAATCTACACATAGAATTTTTGCTGTCCCGGTGCATCATTGTTTAAGAATACTTGGTGAAGGTTGTAATTAGCTTTTCTACAGTTTTTCTTTGCAAATATGTACAAAACGCAAGTGGTTACAGGATAAAATTGTGCAAACGGATGTTTCTATATTACCTTCTTCTGCTGTTACTGAACCTACTATTGGCAATACTACTATGGATTCAAAAGTACACTTCCCTGATACTTAACAAATATTGAGGTTCTTCTTGGCTTCCTCGATGTTTTGTAAGTAATACAGCATTGATTATAAATACTAGTATATTTAAAACCAAATAAATATTCTAGTATTTGTAATCAATGATTATTTGTAAAAACTTTTACTAAATCTTCACATATGTAAAATTCAAAATTATGAACTTATATCATTTTTGCTTCTTTTTTTTCGCCTTTTTCCTAACTATTTGGGGTCAGCCACTTTTGTCCTGAACCTCCCTCTCTATATTATTTTTGCTTGTACACAAAACTATAATCTTTGTATATGTTAAAATGAAATTACAGAGACAGGATAATACACCTTACAGACAGCCAATTCCTCACTTTTACCACCATCACCATCCACAAGGAATAGCATTGGCACCTAAACCACCTACTCAAGATTCCGGAATTTTATCAAGCATCACATCGGGTTTCAATAACTTTGTTAGCAATATGTTTGGATAATTAGTTAAAAAAAAACCCTAATTTTTAAATAATAAATAAAGAATTATTATAGCCAATATACGATCTCCAAGCTATAAGACAGCCAGCTTTTAGGTTAAGTTTTTCTCTCCAACAAATGATACATAATGGACCATTGTAACAGATTGAATCATTTTCTTATTATTAAACAAAACTTATTTATTACAATAATTACACGTACAAATTTATAATATTTTTTTTATTATTATTTTTTTTTTTTTTTTACAAACCTTTTTGTTATATTCAATAAGTATTGTATTGACATTAATTTATACTTATAATTTTGTGTACATAATTTGAACAAAAATTACTATAAATTATGGTTTATTTATTTAGTGTTTTTTTTTTTTTTTTTTTTTTAAATACTTTTCTGGTATAATAACACTTTCAATTTAATACTAACATTGAACACAGATAAAAATATATTAAAAATAAATTATTTTAGGAATACTCGCACAGAATTTATTCATCAGCTGGTTTTAACTTTGATCTAATCATATAAAAAGCACTTATTAAACTACCGAGGTGTATTTTTTCACAAGTCCCACCATTGAGACGCATTTCAATTTCAGCCATTTCTGTTAATATTTCTATGAGAGAATCTGGTGGTAAGTCCACTAGAATGAAAAAGAATTGTTAATATTCTTAATTTAAAACTGCAAGAATTTAAATAAATAATACTTACATCTGTATAAAAATGTATGCAATTCTGTTAATATATCTTGTAAGGCCAAGCCTTTTTGGATTTTGATTTCTTGAATTTCTAAAAAAAAAAAAAAATATTATAAATCTTATAATTCCTTATTTTAATAGAAAAATTACTTTTAAACGTGGAAGCAAAATCATCATTTAATAACCATTTTAGAATATTCATAATATCACTCTTAAGTGGATGACCCACACATGTATAGACAGAATCTTCATTTACTTCAGGAAATGCAGTAGCAGCACTTTGTAATATGTTAAGAACTTTTCGCATATCACCACGTGCCAAATCTATCAGTGCTTTTTTACCATCTTCCGTTACTTTAACACTGTGAACCAACATTTTTAGTAGCGCATTTACATTTTATAAATAAATACAAAGGAAAATATACTTTTCTTTTTCAATAACATATTCAAGTCTTGGCATAATTTGTTTAAAATCAAGTGGACCGAATCGAAAACGTGTACACCGAGACTGTAGTGCCGGAATAATTTTGATGATATAATTGCAAATTAAGCAAAAACGGACATTGTCAGTAAACTTTTCTATAACTAAATGAACAATATATTATAAATAAAATGCGTATAAAACATTAAAATGTAATTATGTATGTAATTAACATTTTTGTAGAAATTATCAAGTTAAATTACTTCTTCTCAATGCGTTTTGAGCATCGTTTGTCATGGCATCAGCTTCATCTAGGATAATTAATTTAAAACCACTTTTAAAAATGGTTCTTGTTGATGCAAAATTCATAATTTGTCCTCTAACAACGTTAATTCCTCTGTCATCTGAAGCATTTAATTCAAGTACCTACAATTTTAACCATTAAAATATTATTGCACAGTCAAAAAAATGTTTTAATAGCAATTTGTATAAAATGGCAACTGTCAATAATTAATTGATTTAAAACTGGGTTTGCTAACATACAATAGAAATATTCATTGTACTTGCTCTTCATTAGAGTAAATAATATATACATATATATTAGAGTTTGAACAAACCGATTATGTTATCTTGCACAAAGTTTAATTGAAATTTATGTATGAAACTTTTTTTAAGCTTTCCTATTTTAGAAATTAATTCTTAAAGAAATTGCTCAAGTTTGCTATAGTCAAAATATTGAAATTAATTGGTTCCGTTGAACATACAACTGATTACAAAACAATAGTTTCTAACACTTGACTGGTCAACATAATAATGGCACATTATACGTACCATCGAACGGAACTGTGCAGGAGTATACAACTGTTTAGCGCAAGCTAAGATCGTACTGGTTTTACCAGTACCCGGAGGTCCATAGAATAGGAGATGAGGTAATTGATCTTGTTTCATAAACGTATTAACTAGAATTACGAGAAATACATTTGTAAGACAACGTTGCGCAAAAAGAGTGATCGGTTTCGTTTTACTTGTTTGTATGATGTCTTCGTGCGAAATCAACTCATCCAAAGTGCTCGGACGATACTTTTCTACCCTGAAATGACACGAGGAAAAACAATGACGGGTGCACAGTACACGAAAACATGAAATGAACCGATTACGGTATAGCTTACCAAGGCAAATTCGGTTTCGGTCTCGTCATCGTTCGCACACGGTACAAAACCGAAAAGTGACCAGTACTGAAAATATTATCGAACTTTGTTGTGTACACAACGCGGATAACCGAATATCAAACCAAACAGACGGCCATATCCGTTTTCGAGATCGTTTCTAAAATTAATTTTGCTACACGCACGGTTTAAAACTCGTCCGTTTTGAAATAATAATATTATTACTTGTACGTCAGTCGATCGCTTAGTAGTTTTAGGTTAAATGATTACGTTTTGGCGCCAATCTCAACAACATTCGTTCGGTGGTACGGCAAGTATAACCGTGAACCAGGGTTGCGGTATCGTGCTATAATTATGCGATGAACAGGTTTATCAATAAATGATAAAAACATTGTAGTTGTTTTTTTTTTTTTTTTTTTCCATCAGAATAAAACAATTAAAGGTAATCATTGTTGTAACGTTTAAAGATATTGCACGTATTAATCGTGTTGTATTTTCAAAAGATGTTCGGTGCGATCAGACACTCGATAAGCAGTGCCAATGGCTGCTGTTCCACGACAATGGTTGCGCGAGGTTTAAAATCGTGGCCGGGCGGTAAAAAATATAATGGATTCACTTACTATCCGAGGTAACACGTCTGCGGTGCGGCGTTCGTTGGCCGTTAGTCAACCGGTTTGTTTTCGATTTTATTTCAGAAAAGGTGAAGTGGACCCTCCGTACACGCCGACCAAGTTGTTCATGGTTCAGCGAGTGAAACCATATTTGTACAATCCGTATTGGCAGAAAAAAATCTTGACCGACATGGGCCTGGATCATAAGGTATCGGTTTTTTTTTTTAAATCATTTCTATAAACTAATATTCCTGATATTACATGATTGGATAAATCATAATGGTGTGCATAGCTAATAGAATCAACTGTGGGAGTTATGCATTTTTTTTATCATTGTCGATTATTGTTGAAATCGGTTGTGATATTATAATATTAAATGTACTTAGCAAACTCACTGTTGTAATAATCATTTTCATCATCCTTAATATTAAAAAGCTAAATAGTAGGATACTGATGTTGGGTGTTTACTGGTTTTATTATAAATATAGTTTTATTTGTTTGTAAAACCATTAGTAACACTTTGAAATTATAATTTGAAAAATACAGTAGGTATTGTGTAAAATAAGAATGTTTGCTACTTTAACCTAAAACAACAATGTAAATTAAGCGTACCATCTATATTTTAAAATAATTATACATTATAATAAAATAATCATTTTACCATTCGTGCTATGTTTAAATGTTACACAATAAATTTAAAAACCTTGTTGTTGATTCCCTTAAAATGGTTTCAGACAGCCATCCTATATTTAAATTGTATCTTTAAAAATACTTTTTCACTGTCACGCAATATTGACAAAAATAATTTTACGTGTAGTTTATAATAATTCTCGGTATGAAATTGTAAATCCATAATTTTGATACTTTTTGATCAGTTTTTCATTTAATGTATAATTCTTATTATTTTTGTACATAATTTGCTTACATTTAATATTCCTTGTTTGATTTTAGACTAGTGACATAGCAATTGTGAAAAATACACCGGAGATGAATCTACGTCTTTGGAAGGTTAAACATTTGATAAAAATAACACCAATTCAAACACCTGATGGACTACCTGAAAAAGATGACCTGTGGGGTACGCATTTGGACTCAGAAGGTGTATTCAGGGTAGCTAAATGTTATAATCCTGATTTTAAGAGATTAGAAGCTACTGAAGAATTTGAAAAATTGACTAAACGAGTGGATAAAGTTTCTATGGAAAAAAATTGTCGAAACAAATGGTTAAATCCTTGGTCGACTATTGTATAAACTACCAATAAATGTTCATAGTTATATTAAATAAATGTTAATTATTTTTCATTTTAATGTTTATTTAACTATTTGTACATATTTCCAATGAATAAATAAATTATAGTAGATAACAATGTTAAATATATTTATTTTAAATTGTAAGGCTTCATAGTGTGAATTGGAGCAAATATTTTAGTATTTTAGAGAACAAAGTTAAATATATTTTCTTAAAAAAAAAAAAATGCCACAAAACAATTATATTTTTGATGTCACGTTTTTAACCTATTATAACAAAAATTAAAATTAAATTTACTTATTTTCTAGAAGATTAGAATTTTTACAACTTAATGCTTAAACATCATTAAAAATAAATACAAGTGTATAATTAAAAAAAAAAAAAAAAAAAAAAAAAACAATTTGTACACCACAATATTACTCTTACTATTGTACTTGATAAGGCATTGGGATTGATTAAAAATGATTGTTATGTTTTAAGCGATTCGGTTTTGATCAAACGAAAGTTTTGATATTTCTCTTGGATACACGATAGCAGTAAAAATTAGCATAAGTCTTTTGACGATTTGTCACAAAAAGTTTATAGAACGGATTGAAATAGAGAGAAATCTCTGAACTAGAAAGATACGAATAAATTGTTTTAGAAAACGTATAACTCCGTTGAATAGCGAAACAACGAACGGAGCAGTAACGTTTGAAATACGAATATTTCAAAGCAAATATAATTTCCGGAAACCGATTTATTTAAGAGACATCATTATTTTTTTTTTTTTTGGACGTCGATCGATTGTTAATTTTTTCGTACAACGACGGATAAACCGAAAACGGTTACGGTAAACGTAGGACTGGTGAAACGACCGGTAGGATTTTTCGAGTCCCCGAGACGGACGGAGACCGCTCTGGGTAAACTCAGTGCTCGACTTGACGGAATTAAAGAAGGGGGACTCTGTTTACTTTAAAAAAAATAACGTCCCCAAAACTGGCCGAGCGTTTTGATTATAGCGTAATAATAGTAGGGGGACGTTAAAATTTCTGAAAATTAGTCTGGGCGCTCCGTCCCCTGCGTCCCCCCTCAAGTCGAGCGCTGGGTAAACCAACCGTTACTACACACGCGGTGCTCACATTTCTGTTTTAACCCCATTCGGCCGTCGAGGAAAATCGTGAAACTTCTTTCCCTTGTCAGCCGCTAATACGAATCCCCGCCGAATACCGATCTCAAACGGATGGGAATCGCGTGGGGCAATAGCGAAGGAAAAATAAAAAGGTTATAAAAGATCTGCCGTGAACTCGACCCCGATTTTTTTCAGGTAAAAATGATTGATTCGTTGACTCGAATAAAAAAAAAAAAAAAAAAAAACAGGCTCTGATCTTCCGATATCTGATCAGCGATACGTAAGAAGTGCCGAATAAAGTCTCGCGTGGACAGCTTTTTTTTTCAAAACCGTGGGTAATAACGCTGTCGGTTTAAACCCGCGTCGAACAACCCTACATTTTTCACGGATATGTTTTGAACACACGAAGTACCTGCTTGTAGTTTTGCGGTTGACCGTCCACGCGAACATGTATCGTAAACATCTGTTTTGAAAGAACCTAATCAAAAGTTACACGTTTTGTAAAGGTTTTGAAAATCGTTCACGTGCCCGAAGAAAATTAAATCCTCTGAGAACGAAAATAAAATCACACATTTATTGCATGATTTTTATTAAATCTTAATCGTTCTTAGTGAAACACGAGTAACGATTGTTTCATCGGTCAAAACATTTCTTTCCTTCGATTTAATTCAATTCGCTATGACGAATAAGCTTTCGCGAACCCAAGCCGACAAAAATATATGGAGCACAAGGAATTTTTTAAATAGTTACGATTTGTTTCTTCGAATTTCTAATAATTTTCTAATAACCACAACATTTTATAAACAATATCATTTTTTTTTTTTTTTTTTGTGCACGATTTTTAATAATTTCAATTTTCTACGTGCGGTGGTGGTAACGCGATACATATTATTTGTTGGCCTATTTCTGATTGTAAACGCAACGGATTTACCGGTGATTTCAATGCGGTTTGAAAATTGCGAACGCCTGTTGTAAGTTTCGATCAGAAAAATAAAATGTCATTTTTATTTTGTGCGCAGTGAATCTGTAGGTAGTTTGGAAAGCGTGAACTGCGCAAATCACGTGAGAAATTTCGTCTTCGGGTGCACGATCGTGAAATCGTAAACATGTTAGGAAAAAATAATCGATTCCTATAGGTACGCAGTATTATTATCAATGTTACACTACGCGACTGAGTATATGTAACGCGTGGGTATCGATAAAAACAGGATTTGATACGGATGAAAAAATTTAAAACCTATTTTGGATATCGAAAATAATAACGAAGTCGATTATCGTCCACATTATTTACGGACGCATTGGAGTGAACGAATAAAATCCACCGTTTCCCTGACGATTATTCGTTTGTCACAGTAAGCTCAGCGCATTTTTTTAACTAGTTGACTACGCGACACAAATGTCGCCCAGTGACTGTGCTCTGACGACAATGTTTTGAAAGATCGGGCGAAATAATGCGAAACAAACGGGTAATACTATAATCGTACCATGGTGTTACATTGACTATTTCGAGAAAAACATTTTTTGCCGCCCAGTGAAAATTCCATATAAAACGCACCGAGTAAGCTAATTGTAAAACCATAGCGTCAATCGATTTCGATTTTATTAAAATATCTAAACAAAACGTACCCCGATTTTCCTCGTAAATGTACTACCTATGACACCAGGGCCGGCCCAAGCAAAACTAGTACACCAGGCAAAATCAAATTTTTCCTTCCGCCTCTAAAAAAAAACTTAGCCCCTCCACCTATTTTGCTATCGGAAATCGCGGAAGTGATTGTGCGGTTATTTTTTATTTTTGGAATGATTGAAAACGTCCAGCGTGGGCCGTAACACAAAGTAACATAATAATTGTAGACAATATTATTTTACTGTACAGATAAGTGGTTTTCACGAATGAATTAATTTAAATGTTTTTCTTATAAAACACCGATAGGATTACAAAAAAAATGTACGAGTTAACTTTGATAAATGCCGCCCCTACTAAAGTGTCGCTGTAGGCAGGCGCCTAGCTCGCCTACACCTTGAACCGGCTCTGCATGGCACCCGATTCGTTGTCGGGGAAACGATGCGTTTTATTCTTTTGCACTTTTCACTCGACGAGTGCAACATCCGCGACGTGTCGTTTCGGACAGTGTTTTGCTGCCAGCGGTAAGACGTTTTATCCGCGTCATAAATATCCGGACCGGCATTTTAGATACGGGAACCGAAAAATCCGGAACGTCAAACCATCGTTCAACATTGAAAAACCATACCCGATCGTTACGATTTTAAAAAAAATACATCGGCGTCGAAATTAATCAATCGTTTCTTTCCGTTTCGATTCCCGGTTATATTATTTTGCATTGAAATGTTCGACGGGAAACAACGGTTGGGCGGCTATCAACACTTGTACTACGTATACACTGCAATGTACCTACATATATATAAAAAACACGCGCGTAAGATTAACCGAAAAGCAGCAAGTAAACGCTTTCTATTAGATTGAGTTTGATTTCTTTGTTCTGCTTGGACTTTTCCGATTTGATCTGAAACACCAAAAACATCAATCCGTTACATTATCGTAATTGGGCTCACCGATTCGCGCCGACCGTGGACCCATCATTAGGTACCAATCAATAGTGTTTGAAACATGAAACATTCCACAAAAACGTGGAACATTGAAGTTTTTTCTCGTACAAATATTAAGGGGCCTCGCTATAGCGTTTATTTGAGGAGCAACATTTACGCTGTGTCCAACGTGAACGCGGCGAACGCGAATTCGCGGCAGACGCGAACGAATTCGCGTTGGCCGCATTCACCGTTCGCAATCGTGTCCTACGTGTACTAGTGGTGTGAAAAATCCGGATTTACCGAAGTTCGAAAATCCGGATTCATGAAATTCAAAATCCTTAATCCGGATTCGGAGAAAATTCCGGATTTCGGAATTCAAATTCGGATTTTACTCGAACTCCGGATTTTGAATTTTGAAACATTGAATTAATATATTTTATGGATTCCTTATATTAAAGCCTTGATAAATACATAATTTTTTTTTTTTTTTTTTTTTTTTTTTAATGAATTAATATATTTATAGAAAAACTTTTAAAGCAAAAATATAACAACAACAACAGCAACTATCAATATTGCAATAACGTGTAGATATTACAACCTAAACTCAATTTATACATGAAATTAGTAACAACATTTATAAGTATCAGAATAATTTATCCAAAAAGACACAATAAATAATACCTAAATATACTTTGTTTAACTAACAGAAAAGTACAAGTAATAATGAAAATATATACTTAATTACAAATATAATAATTTAAGTTTGAAAAATTATTATGAACAACGTTCAGAAAACTTGCTTTAGAATACAGAAATCCACAATGTGAAACCCAAATATTCGGATTTCACAACTGAAAATCCAAAATCCGAAATCCGGATTTTTCGGATTTTCGGAGAATCCGGATTTATTTCACACCACTAATATTAACACGCGTTGACGTGTGCCAACGCAGTGGAGACTCGACGGACGAGGATATTGCTGTACAGTTGTAGTAAACACTAAAAGTAATAAATAACAGTATGTACCGACCGCCGTTGACCGTGAACTGTTTACGGTTCTCCATCGTGCGTTCATATCGACGACGGGGCGGCAAGATATGTGCGTTCGTTAAAAAATTTTAAAAACAAAAACAACTAAAAATGTCTTTTAGTCTTGAAAAACAATTGTTAATACCTAATGAAAAGTGCTGAAGTGAAATATTTAATGTACTTTGTATTACATTTATTCCAAAGAACCCATTCATTTTTAGTACCTCAGATATAATGTGCTCCATATTGATCATACAACAATATCTAATACATAAATATATAATACTATTATAGTTAAAATGCTATTAATTATAATTTAATAATATATATATATATATA